TGCCGGTGCCTTTGCGCAGTTCGAAAACAATTTATTTATTTATTTATTTATTTATTTATTTATTTATTTATTTATTTATTTATTTATTTATTTATTTATTTATTTTTATTTTAATTACTTCAATTTTGTCTCCTTCTTGCTTCAACCACTTGGTAATTCGGCCTTCCGTCATTGTGCTGCTGAGGGCGGGCATGAAGAGAGAGACAGTTCCTGGGGGCAGTGTTGCTGCTGCTGCTGCTGCTTCCTCTGCTGCTGCTGCTGCTGCTGCTGCAGTGTTTGCTGCTGCAGGGCCTGCTGCTGCTGCTGCTGCTTCCAGCAAACCCACGGGAGTCCCCGGGGGCACCCGCACTCCCTCCCTCACCAGAATCTTCCGCAGCACGCCTGCGCCGCAAACCCAAACCCCAAACCCTAAACCCTAAACCCTAAACCCTAAACCCTAAACCCTAAACCCTAAACCCTAGCCTCTCTCCCCTGCGCCCCAGCCGCCAACCCCGAACCCCCAGCAGCTGCAGCAGCAGCAGCAGCAGCCGCTGCTGCAGCAGCAGCAGCAGCTGCTGCTGCTGCAGCAGCAGCAGCAGCAACGCGGAGGCGCGCTTGTCCCTCATTGCGGCGGAGCGCGCTGCTGAGGTGTACGTACACCGCAGCGCCGGCCCCGGAAAAGAAGCGGAAAGCTGCAAAGAGAAAAGTGGAAAGAACTTCGCGAGAAATTCAACTTTGCGAGAAATTCAACTTGCAAGAAATTCAACTTTGCAAGTTTTGCAAGTTTGGAGTTGCGAGAAAGGCCCCGAGGGATTTAAAAGAGCTGGAAATGAAAAACTTCGCAAAAGTCGAAAAGAACTCGAAAAAACGCCAAGTCCAGAACGGCTGCGGCGGCGGCAGCCGCTGGCTTCGTTCCGAGAGAGAGCTGCGCAGTCGCGAGGGGAAGACAGCCGCGATCCGCGCTTTCCGCCGGAGGAACTTGAGATTTTTGGGTTTATTTAAACGCAATTTGCATTTTAATTTCCATTTCCGCCTTTGTTTCGCAAAAATCCCGACAGAAATGCGCGTTCGGACCCCAGAGCACGCTGTCTCGGTCCCGCCGCGCTGCTGCGGTGTACAGACAGCCCGACGCTCGACTCCGAAACACTACCCGTTCAACTTCTTTCCAATTCAAAACCACTTTTATTTCTTTTGCGAACTTCGCCTCCGAAAAACGCGCCTCTTTTTAGCCAGGATCGCCGCCAACTCCCTCTGCCGTGTCTCGCGACAGCAGCCGCGTGGGGGCCGCCGCACACTTGAAAACCCAACTTGGGCTCCTTTTTCGGCTTTTTTCCTAATTTATTTGCATTTAAATTGAATGTAAATCCTCAGAAACGAAAAACGGACCTCCAAACCCCCAAAGGCAAGCGACAAACCGCAGACGCGCTGTATGTACACCTGCGCAGGGGGAAGGCAGCTGCTAACTCGGAAATCGAGTTCGAAAGAGGCATTTCTTTGCAATTCGGATATTCAAAAGAATTTCTTTTTCGTTTTTCAACTTTTTGTCCGCAAAAAAGACTTTTTTTCTCTTCGGAAACCCGCGAGACTGTGCGGGGGCTCAGGTGTATCCGCAGCTCCACCCTGAACACGAGCAGCGCAAGGAAGAAGGCAAGAGAGGCGCCAGAAGAATTAAAAGAGAAAATTGGAGTTTAATTTTCAATTAAATGATAAATAAATAAACTTTAATTAATTAGTTCGAAGAAAACCCGAAGAAAGATGCACTTGAAGCCCCAGCAGCAAAGAACAATGCTAGAATCGAATCTGCTGGCAAACAGAAAGCAGTTCAGGATCTACTTGGAGTTAAATGGATCTTTTAAATTAACATTTTTAAATTGAAAAGAAAAGAAAGTTTGAAAAGAAAAGAAAGTTTGAAAAGAAAAGAAATTCAAAAATTAAAAACACAAGACAAGCTGCAGCCAACTTCCCACAAAGACTTTACTTCGAAGCTGAATCTGCAGCAAAGCGCTGCAGCAAATCTCCGAATTAACTTCTTTGTTAATTACTTTTATTTAATTAACTTAAACAAATTAAATTAAACAAATTAAATTAATTAAATTAAATTAGTTAAATTAAATCCATTTTCTGATTTTTCCACTTTTTGCAATTTTGCAAGTTAAATATTTGAATGAAACGCAAAAAGGTGAATTAATTATTTAAAAGAAAGTCAAAATTGAAGTTTTTGGCTTTTAATTTTTAATTTAATTTAGTGGAAATATGTTTTAAATGGAAATCTACTTTTGTTTGTTTTCTGCAATTAATTAAATTATTTTATTTTTTCGTTTCTTCATTTTACTTCCACTTTTATTTAATTTGCTGCCACTTCCATTCGCCTCTGTTTACCATTTTATTTTATTTTATTTTATTTTCATTCCATTTCGTTTTACTTTATTTTATTTTATTTTATTTTATTTTGTTTTATTTTATTTTATTTTATCGGTTTTATTTGCTTCGTTCCATTTCGTCTTGCTTTGTTTATTTATTCCCTACTTTGTTAAACTCTGTCTTGTTTGTTTTATTTTATTTTATTCTATTTTGTTTTGTTTTATTTTATTTTATTTTATTTTATTTTATTTTATTTTATTTTATTTTACTTTATTTTAATTAAATGAATTCATTTTGCAAATGATTTCCATTTCTACCTCCTGGAGTTTATTTAGACATTTGGCATTTCTCGTTTTATTTTTTTATTTCTTCAAATCCAATATAATGCTTTTGTGTCTTCCCCCCCTCTTCATCTTTCTAAACCCTAAACCCTAAACCCTAAACCCTAAACCCTAAACCCTAAACCCTAGGCTTTCAATGCAGCAAACCGAGTGTCTGTACACTCCAGTTCAAATGCGTTTCCCGCCGCATGCACAAATGGGGTGTACGTACACCCGGAGTCTGGAGTTCGAGTTGGAAATTGAGCAGCACTTTTAAAACGAAATTATTTAATTTTAATTAAATCTTTTATTTGTTGTTTTGCACTTCATAACTCCTTTTATAATTCATAATTAAATAAATATAAATAATAATATTTTTTCTTTTGCTGCAGCAGCACTGCAGCAGCAAAACCACAAAAAGCAAAAGAAAGCAGCAGCAGCAAAAAGGGTTTTGGGGAATTTCTTTGCATGCAGCAGAAACGAAAAACACTTTTTGAATTATTTAAAAAGTTATTTAATTTAAAGATTAATTGGACAATTGAAAGTCTTCAAAAGACATTTTTAACTGCATGCGATTCAGCAGCTTCGGAATTAACTAGATCTACGTAACTGCAGCAGCAGCAGCAGCAGCTGCTGCTGCTGCTGTTGCCGCTGCTGCTGCTACTACTACTGCTGCAGTGGATGCTGCTGCAGCACGCGTGTTGCTGCAGCGACTGCTTCTGCAGCAAGTGCTTTGTTGCTAGTGCTGCTGGAAGCAGCAGTGTTGCAGCGAGTGTTGTGCAGCTGTTGCTGCTGCAGCAGTTGCTTCTGCAGCTGCTGCAGCAGCAGCAGCAGCAGGTGGCGCTGGTTCGCTGCTGCTGCTGGCAGCTGCAGCAGCGCAGCAGCAGTGTTGGTCTGTGCAGTTACGCGCAGCAGTTTGCTGCAGTTTTTTCGCGAAGAAAGCGCTAAAGACGCGAACTAAACGCGCAGCTGCTGCTGCTGCTGCTGCTGCTGCTGCGCAGCAGCAGCAGCAGCAACTGCCGTTGCAGCAGCAGCAGCAGCAGCAGCAGCTGCTGCTGCTGCAGAAAGTGTGTGTGTGTGCGAGTGAAAGGAACTACTTAGGGCGCAGCGCCGCGGCTGGGGGCGCGGAACGCCCACCGCGCATGCACCCACCGCACCACCCCCCACCTATCTTGGGGGGTCCGATCTGCGGCTATTTGGGGTTTTTTGGAGTCCAAAAAGCGGCGATTTGAACTAAAAAGGGAAAATTGGGGGCATTTTGCGCGTCGAAGCGGCGAAAGGCGGCGCCGTTGCTGTCTTTGGCGGGGTGGCGGCGCGGGAGCAGCGGCCGGCGCGGGAAGCGGCGCTGCGGGCGCTGCGGGCGGCCCGCGAGGCCCCAGAGGCCGAAAAGAGAAAAAGAAAGAAAAAAAAACAAGTCGGAGAAACAAAGACAGGAAAAGGCGCGGCGGGAAGGGGGGGCGCCGCGCGCAGCAGCCACCACCCCCTGGGCAGCTGCGTGGCTGCGTTGCGGCGCGGGCGGCGCGGCGATCTGGGGCCAAAAGAGTCGCTTTTTCGGAAAATAAAAAGCCCAAAAGAAAGCTTTTTGCAAATTCCACAAGTCCGCGAACTGGTGAGCCTCCAGCGCCTCGGGTTCGCCCGCTTTCCGCCGCTTTCCGCTGCTGCTGCTGCTGCTGCTGCTGCTGCTGCTGCTGCTGCGCCGCAGCAGCTGCGTCGCCGGCGCCCTTTCTCCGCTCCCCGCACTTCCCTCCCACCTCCCCTCTCCCTCCCGCTGCCGCTGCCGCTGCCGCTGCTGCTGCTGCTGCTGCTGCTGCTGCTGCAGGAGATGTCGGGGAAAGGTCCAGCGCAGAAGTCGCAGGCGGCGAAGAAGACCGCGGGGAAGTCCCTGGGCCCCCGCTACCGACGGCGAAAACGCACTGAGTCCTTCGCCCTTTACATCTACAAAGTGCTCAAGCAAGTGCACCCGGAGACTGGCGTTTCGAAGAAGTCGATGAGCATTATGAACTCCTTCATCAACGACATCTTCGACAGACTCGCTGATGAGGCTGTTAGGCTCATTCGATACAACAAAAAAAGGACTTTGTCTTCGCGAGAAATCCAAACTGCTGTTAGACTGCTGCTGCCGGGAGAACTGAGCAAACACGCGGTCTCGGAGGGCACCAAGGCTGTCTCCAAGTATACCACTTCCGGCGCCTAGCTGCTGCTGCTGCTGCTGCTGCTGCTGCTGCTGCTGCAGCTGCGGAGGAGGAGGAGGAGGAGGAGGGGGAGGGGAGGAGGGGAGAGGTTGCTGCTGGGGTGGGCGGCGACCCGCTTTGCGGCTCTGCGCTCCTGCTGCTGCTGCTG